TGCAACGCTTGTGGCGCAGTAGATGTGGTGCAAGATATGTGATACAACCTATGCCGTGCACAGTAAATGTGGTGTAGCCTATGCGGCACAACCTCTATATGTACATATATATATGTGTACACACATCTCTCTCTCTCTCTCTCTCTCTCTCTCTCTCTCTCTCTATATATATATAGCTCGCCTACCTTACCGCGCCGACAGGCTCATTTTGTGTGAAGGGCTGACCAGGTCGGTAGCTTCGAATGACGATGCCGAGGGGCGCCAAACCGAGAGCACACGCCCTGCAAAAACGAACAGCGTTTACAGCTTGCTGAGCAGTTTGAAAGAGGAGGGAAGGAGGAAGGAGGACACAGCACAGACACACACCCAGAGAGGCACGCTAGAGAGGGAGGGAGGGAGGGAAGACTTGAGCGCGGCAGTTGCGGCGGGATCCAGGATGGGCTATGCCTAAAAATGTGTAAATGTGACAGCTCGCCTACCTTACCTTCCCGCCAGGCTCATTTTGTGTGAAGGGCTGACCAGGCCGGTAGCTTCGAATGGCAACGCCGAGAGGCGCCAAGCCGAGAGCACACACCCATACCCGAATGGTGGCTTGGCCGATCAAGAGGCCGAGCTCAAACCACAGCCACATCGATAGCATACTTAGCAAATCTCTGGGCACGTTTGTTTTCGAACGATCGCTGCATCACGCGACTTAACTTCCGAGCGAAGGCCTTGGGGTACTCCGCGGACAGACGAGTAAAGTGAGGACCCTGAGGAGCGTGACTGGATAAAACTACATGAGGCTTTTGCGTCTTGGAACAGATGCCAAATCGACCCGAGCAGCGGAGGCCGAGGCTCTGCAGCGGGAGCGAGCGCCACGCGGCAGAGCTGGTCGCCTTCCGCCACGGCGCCCCGTGCTGGCACATGTGGAGCTGGACCATCCGGGCAGAGGCTGCCCGCAGGGGCCGGGCCAGCGGGGGCGTGCCGCGTCAGAGAGCCCGCCAGATTCTCGAGGTAGGTGGCCACTTTCCACTTCAGGGCCAAGCGGATGACTTTGCACATGATTTTGACGGTCGCACTGCCGACTTCCAGCCGCGCCTGCTCGCTTGTGGAAAGGCCCGGCAGCCCCGTGGGACGCCGTCGGGAGCGCAGTGGCCGCCGCAGGGCTTGACTCCAGGTCGTGCAAGGCGATCCAAGCCAGATGCCGGCGACGCAGCCAGAGGTGACCCAGCCGCTGAGAACCTCAAAAAACTCATGCGCCAAGTGATTCTCGCGGGCGCCGCGGATGATGTCGAAGCCCACGGCCGCGAAGCCCTCTGCCTCCAGCGCGGCGGTGATGCAACCTTTCCCGCAGAAAAGATCGACGAATGCACATCGTCTGCGCAGCCGGCCCTCGCCCGCCGCTCGGCGGAAGGCGGCCGGCATGTGCGCTCGCGCGGCGCCGTGGGCCGCGATCAGCGGCGGCGCCGCATCTGACCGCGGCCGGCCGCCGCCGCCGCTCGGCTGGGCCGGGCGCCCACCAGGCCGGCCAGAGCGGCGGGCACCTGGGATCGCAGCGGGCGCGGGCCGCAGGCCAGGGCACCCTCGATCACTATCCTGAAGTTCGCCTCGACCAGTCTGCCGAACGACGGCGTGGCGGCAGGCGCCCAGTGGAGCTCGGCGAGCAGCTTCGACTCCTCCGTGCACCGTTTCATGCTGCTGCTGTGGCCCCACGCACCCCTGCGCTGCACCTGCTCCGGCGCGCGGATGCCCCGCATGATGTCCTCCGAGGCCCCCCCGCGGCGCAGCGGGCGCAAGTGGGGGCGGGGGCGGCTGAGCGACAGGCGCTTGGCTGCCTCGCCGAAGGCCCTCTCGTACTCGCCGAGTTCGTAGTCCCAGAGAGAGGCCTCCGCTGGCGTCGCTAGCTTCAGAGCCTCCAAGACCGAGAACAGCCAGCTCGCATTGTCGATGATGACCGAGTCCTCGAAGAGGCCGACCGTGCTCGGGATCCGATCCACCACGTCGCGCAGCAGGAGCGCCCACTTGTCGCGGGCCGAGCCCGCGGCAGCCGCTGGCCGGACCAGGCCGCGGCCCCGCAGCCGCAGCGCCTCGCCCGGACGAAGGTTGCACGGGAAACTGATCACCGCGCAGATGACCATCCGCGTCGGGCCCCAGCTGGCCAAGAGGCCAGCGATCGCAAAGCAGGCGCTCCTCGGCAGCGGCCGCGGCACAGCCTTGTAGAGGACGGGCGTCACGTGGCCGAGGGCCGCCGGGAGCTGTGACCCTGTGTTGCCGTTCTCGCCCAGGAGGTACAGCTGGTCGAAGTACTCCACCAACGGCGCGTCGAGCTCCGTCATCGAACCCCAGTCCCGGCGGCGGGCCGAGCAGAAGGCCGCGAAGGCCTCGAGGGCCATATGGTAGTTCCTGGCCGTCGAGGGGAGGATCGCCGCACTCTCCAGCGTCGACAGCCCGCTGAAGCGCAGCGCAGCCTTGGCCACATGGGCGGCCGCCAGGGCCCGCTCGCGCTTCAGGGCCGACGCGGCCGGCGCCCGGGACGCCCGGGCCCCCAGCGCGCCCGGCGCCAAAAGAAGGCCGGCGCCCGCCGCCAGCGGCAGCAGCAGCAGCAGCGCCCGCATGGCCGTCACGCGGGTCGTGCTGGCCGTAGACGCGCGCCCCTGAGAACCAACCGACCTCGCCTCTGGAGGTCGACCGGGTTGAGCTCCGAGGGCACCCGCCGGACGGCGAGCCTCGAGCCTGTAGCTAGCGACAGAGCACATATGCGGCACAGGCACAGGCGAAGGTGAATAGGCCTGGCACGTCCCTTACCTGCTGCCAACACAAGAGGACGGCTGTCGGAGAGGATCAGGATTCGCCGACCGTGGGCTTTGCAGCTCCTCAGAACGCTCCTGAAGCCCATGGCCAGGGCCTCACCCTCAAGAAACAGGATGTTGGGCCCCATCTTGACGTGCGTGGCCGACGCGCAGCTCCAGCACCCCGGACGCAGAAGTCGCCTTGGTATCCCCGAGAACTCCCCTGTTGCCTCGAGGTTCGAGTCGGGCTCCTCCTGATTGATGGCCCACGAGGGCCCCTCCTTCTGCTCCAAGATCATCGCAGCCTCCTCGTCCGCCCCCACCTCCTCCAAGGCCCGCTGGCGGGCCCGAGCCCCGCCCTCGATCTAGAAACGGAACCTCTACTTCTGGCGGCCTATCTCCTGGACCTGGGCCTGGCTCAGCTTGCGGCGGGCGACCCCCAACCCGACCGGCGACAACTCTGTGCAAGCCACGTAGGGATGCCAATCAGCTTGGAGGTCCACACATGATAGAAGTAGCAGGTTGCGGACGCCCTCGAGCTCTTGGCTAATCGATTCCCACAGACGAAACGGCGAAGGACCAGCAGCTTCGATGAACGCGTAGGTGGCATGCAATAGCGACAGACGCTCCCGACGATCAAGGCTACTCCAGGTAATATGCCCAACGATGACGCGCAAGAAGTGCCCACTCACCCTCGATCTGGCCAGGAGCTCATCCAGGGCATGCCGAAGCCTCCAGAGGTTGCGCCCCTTCACCGAGAGGAAACGCCCGGCTCTGAGAGACATCCCCAAGAACTCGCGGTCCCTGCTGGCCCCCTCAAGCTCGTGAACGACAAGGCCCAGGCCCCGCGGCTGCTTGACGACGACGTCGAGACGGCTGGCCACGGCCCCCGGGTCCGACCCCAAGGTGAGGAAGTTGTCCACGTAGGCGGCTGACGCGGCGCCCCCAGGAAGCCTAAGCACCACCCCAAGGCTGCCGTTCAGGACCTGCTCGTCCTTCCTGAAGCCCCCCTTGTCCTGAACCCCTTCCAGAACGTCTTGGCGGAAATTGAAGGCCCGCGTGCACCCGCACGCTCGGTAACATAGACGCCGGCCGCCGGCCCCGTCAGGGGCTCCAGGCATGTGAAACTTCTGTAAATTCGAGGAGTCTATGCAAGGCAAGCTAAACAGATGCCCCATACCTTTAGGTAGCTGCATATGATAAAAGGCCACATCCAGATCCCTGCTCGCAACATACACAGGGCCCCCATTCGGTTTCCAGGGGGGCGAAGGCAGAGGGGGAGGGGAGGCGAGTCGAAGGAGGGTCGATGAACCTACAGTTCGCAACTCTGGCATCGAAGATGATGCGCTGAGCGCCGCTCATCTTCTTCGAAAGAAAGACTAGATTGCCTTGCCGCCCAGCGGCGGGCTCCCAGGACAGCATCCCCCGAGAAGACATACCAGACAAAAACTCAGCATGCCGCCGCGGCGAATTCTCGAGGGCGGGATCCACGCGAGGCCCCCGCGGACAAACTTCTTTGTGCAGGGCCCGAGCCTCCGACTCCGGGCGAAGCGCTTGATGCTGCCAGGCTTCCAGCTGTTTCAATTCAGGCCCAGACGCAAGCGACTCGAGAGGGACCGGATCGACCTGCTCAGAAGGCCACGAGACCAGGTCTCGCTGGATGGAGGCCACCGCCCGCCCGTCTGGCGAGCACAGGGCGGAGCCGTCAAGGAGCGCCGAGAGGGCTCCCTTGGAGAAAGAATGCTTCTCGGAAGGGATCCACAGGGTGGCCCGGCCGCGCGGCAAGTAGCAATGGCATTATCTACAGCGGCGCGCTGCCCGGCATTCGAGAAATCACTGCCGTGGGAGGTGCAGCCGTAGGTCTTATTGAGACGTCAATGACATCACGAGCGAAGTGCTTATCATGCTCACCGCGGGGGATCCGACGACGGACAGCACGCGACGCAGAGCTCGGGGCGGGTAGGGCAGCGGGGGTGGCAGGAACAGGTAGAGGGAAGATGTCGCGATGCCGACCGTCAGGAAGCTCCCGACGATGCTTGCCGCCGCCGACCTTCAGAAGGCCGGGTGGACCCTGCAGCCCTTCAAGGCTATCACGGGTGAAGGCCGGGTCCCGAGCCTTCACCTGGCGTGCGCTCGCCCCTCTTCCTTCTTGCCTGTCCCGCCCTTCTTGTTCTTGTCTTTGTCGTTGTTGCCCGAGCCGCCCGACGAGAGCTGCCGCTCTTCGCGGGCCTTCCGGAGCCCCTTCTGCGCCGCCACCTCGCGGGCCAGCTCCGCCGACACGTGCTGCTGCAAGGCGGGGGCCGCGCAGACGTCGCCTCGCACCTCGGCCGCGCCCATCATCAGTTCGCGGTTGATGCTCTCGGGTTCGGCGGAGGTGACGCGCCGCGAGCGCGATAGCGCTCCTCTTGCACCTGGAGAGTCCTCGCGATGAGCTCGGCGCTCGCCAGGTCGCAGGCGTTGAGCCGATCGTACGAGATCACGGTATCCAGCAGCCGGCTGCGCAGCAGGTGCACCTCGACCCCAGCGTCATCCGGGTCGAGCCCCATCTCGCTCCGCCAGCGCGAGTGGCGCGCGAGCGGGGAGCCACCGCGGCGCTGGATGCACTGCAGCGCCCAGTGAGTCGCCCGAGGCCCGCGGACGGGGAAGTCCGCCCACGCGTGCTCGGACTGGGCCAGCACGCCCTCGCGGAAGTCCAGGAACCGCTGGCCGCGCCCGTCGTGGGTGCAGGCCGGATGCGTTAAGGGCGGCGGGCCCCGCTCCCGCCGCGGCCGGCGCCGCGGGCACTGGCCCCGCGGCGGCTCCGGCGACGGCGGGCGCCGCTCCTGCGGCGGGCACCGCCGCGGGCGGCGCGGCGGCGGGAGCAGCCAAGGCCCCCGCAGCCACAGGCGCGCCAGCCGCTGCTGCTGCTCCTGCCCCGCCGGCGGGGCCGCCGAGGGCCGCCGCGAGGCCGGCCAGGCCCCCGCCGGCTGGACCGGCAGCGCCCGGGGCCCCCGCGACCGGCGCCGCCGCCAGCGCGCCCGGAGCCGCTGGCGCGCCCGGCGCGCCTGCGGCGGCCGCCGGCGCCGCGCCGCCCGGCGCCGCGATCGCCGAGGGGTTGGCCAGCAGGCGCCGCCCAGCGGCCGCGCCGAGGATGTTGCCGCCAGCCAGGTCCAGAAGCAGCGGGCCCGCAGGAGGAGGAGGGCATCCCGCTGCGACCGCGCCACCGCGCCCCAGGCCTCTGACGCCGTCGGGAGGCGCCGGAAGCGGTAGACGCGCCGGCCCGCGAGGGCCGGCGGGTTGCCTCCTTGCCCGGCCAGGCGGGCCACCTCCTCAACGTCGGGCCCCGGCGCGTTCGGCTCCGCGTAGTCGTCGAAGTCCGGCGTCAGGATGTAGCTGAGGGCCCCGCGCTCGCCGATCGCGAGCCGCTCGTGCCAGAGCAAGGGCCCCGGCACTCTGTACCGTACGCAGTAGAACGAACACACAATATAACGATCCCTCGTTATAGATGCCTGGCGGCATGCAGTAGCCGCCCTTGCGCAGCTCGATCGTCTCGTTTACCGTATTATCCGACCACTGTCCAAGCATGGCGCCTCCAACCTTTGACCAATCGTTATGTCGGATCTTCCATTCTACATCCAGCATATGAGTGGCGAGGCCCATCGGAGGGCACTTGCGATGTCCACCAGGGATTGCTGCATTCAGATGGTCAGGCAACTTGCGGGTAGCACCCTGGACAGCAGTGTTCCATGTGAACAAGCTTGACATCATACACATGGTTTTCATCATCGAAATCCATGGGGTCGCCGTCGCCGTGTTGTACTCACAGTAGGCGCCGCCGCCGACAGGCCCCATTCGATGGCCGATCACCCCAATCACGTCCAGCGACGCAGCGCGGGTGGTCTCGACGAGAGCGGCGTCGTCTGGCACGCGCAAGTGGTACTCGGCGCTGTTGTCCAGGCGGCGCTGATGAAGGAAGTGGTATCCTTCATCCTCTCCACGATGGCGGCCTGTCTGAAGATGGAACGCAGGTCCCACGCGATCATTATCATCAGCCTCGGGATTGTGGCGGGCGTCACCGCCGACGGCGCAGCCCTCGAGGTGGAGAGGTGGGACCTGATGCGTCTCTGGAAGGGGGGGGGGTCGGGGGCAGAACCGATCCCCTGGACGTTAGTTTCGCGCGGTGCGAGCAAGATGCTGGTCAGCGTAGTTGCTCGAGTCGTAAAACAGCTGCGGGGGCAACGTGATCGTATCACGAGAGTCCTAGATCTGTCGGGACCAAGGGGTGACGACGAGGATTGACCAGAGCGTCTACCATGTGGCGAACGAGCCCGTGCACGAGGTTGGCGAGAGGCTCCAGCCGCGGCAGGGACACCGATGTGGTACATGCACGCGCGTAGTCCCTCGCGGTTCTTTGATCCCACGCAAAATTTCCCGCATCTTGTGCCTGGCCCCCCCCGATGCTCACGGTCAGTAAGCAGTATCTCGCAAGTTTCCTCACATCCATCCAGTTTCGGAGGCTCGGCGCGTGTGGTAGACCATCGGGCCTCCTGGGTCCTCGCAACGGCCACCAAGGATTCTTCGGGGGACACTGCATGGGGGTGATGGGGAATATGAGCGATAGTTCCCATAAGTCCCTCCAGAGGTTGGCTTTCTTGGGCTTAGAATATTTGGTCATCATGTCGGCAATATGTTCTTTAGTACCTACATACTTAAGCTCGACATGTTCAAATTGGTATGTTTCGTATGCAAAATCCAAATTGATACGATGTGTGCGATGAAGATGACGAAGTGCTGGTGTACGTCCCGTTTGGGCAATCTTGATCACGGCCTGGTTGTCTTCCAGGACGATAAAGTGCACTTTCGGAGAGCTGCTCGCGTGAGCAGGCTCTGGGTCCACGTGTAGAACAGTACCTTCGTGGGAAATTGTACGCCTTTTTGGAGTCGTAAGCGTCTCCGATTGCAGCGGGAGCTGCCTCCGGCTCGGAGAAGATCCCCTTGTAGGGGATGCCTTGCGAGCCGATGTCTTACGCCGCTTCTTTTTGGCGGCCAGGGTCGGACATATCGTAGTGGCGACGCGTCCCAGGCAGCCTAGGCAGTTGGTCTTCTCTTTGCAGGCGCCGGCAACCTCCACCACGGCCTCCCAGAAGGAAATCAGTGGAAGTCCCTCGAGTCGTAGTGCAGAGTCAAGGGCGACGATCTCGGACTCCGTGGAGGAGTGAGAGACGACCGTCTGTTTCTTGCACACGGCATTGACAAGGAAGAAAGTATTTGGTCCAACAAGCGCCGCGAAGACGCCAGTCGTGGACTTAGAGGAAGTAGTGCAGTCGGCAAATGAGGCATCGGTGAAGAGCATGATGGACGGTTGGCCCTGAGTGTCACCGATCCATCCATGTAGACAATGAGTACGAGTCGTCTTGAGGTAGCAGATCAGCCGATGAAGGCGTTTGTCACACGTGGTATTCCATTTGCTGATCTCTCTGGCTAACATGCACACTGGGTGCAAGAGATCTGAACGACAACATCGTGCCAGACAGAGAATCTTCATCGATACGCTCGCCGCGTCCTGGCCGAGAATGCCTTCGTCAGAGTAATCAGACTCGGTAAAAGATGTGTCCTCGATGCCAGGAGTCTCTGCGGCGGGAAGGTCATCGTAAGTCACTGTCGTGGATTGCGACGTATCAGTAGGTCTCTCGACCGACCCAGCTGGGCTGGATGATCGCGACCGAGCGTTGAGCACGCCAGTAGGTCTCGCGACCGACCCAGAGGAACTAGGCGATTTGGATCGCGAAGCCCTTGGGGAGTCTGACCGTGTGCGGCGTGAGCCTGGCTCTAGGGTGCTCTTGGAGGCGCACTCAAGGTAGCGTTCTATACATTGGTCGGTGAAGCGAAGCATATCATGTCGTTTGCTTAGCTGCATGGTAATCTTTTTCGCTGTGGGTAGGCAACATTGGACGAATGGTAGCCGTTCGCTTGTCGAAGACGTTCTGGGGAACGTCATAAGCCTGTTGTCCACAACCAAGGTAGTGAGAATACGGAGTAAGCGGATCTAGCTCAATGCCGCTTTTGCGGATCAGATCCCAGCTGGCATGGAGGTTGGTGTCGGGCCCTGCAAGTTTGAAATCGTCCACGTATGCTAAAAGTATCAAGCCCAGTCTCTTGTATCTCCACGCGCATTCCCAATCTGGGATGGGCTCGAATCCAACGCTTTCCAAGCACGTGCGACACTTGCGTTCCCAGAACACGCCTGCCAAAGGGCGTCGGTAAAGTGCCAAGCGTAGTCGGCACGCGGGATTCTTGCATTTAGCCCAGGATGCGGGCTGACGCCACTTGGGTAGAGTAACCCAAGTACCGGTCGGGTCAATTCGACCGTCTCCGTATAGTAAGGCCTGAGTGTATGCGCCTGGCGCGTCACTCTGTTCGCCTCCGTAATTTGGCAATAATGCGGCGGCGTCACAAAGCTTAGAAGCCTCAATGTGTGACGCGCTAGATGCCGCATCGGCGAAGATGGCAGCGAAGCCAGTCTCGTCTTTGCCAGTGTTGCCCTGAACCACCACGCGGTCCTTGAACTTACGTAGTTCCGGAGGAAGTTCCTCATGTTTCACAGAAGAGAGCTCTACTATGTTGAAAAATGAGCCTTCTTTCCTGTACGAATCGCCCCGGACTCAACATCTTCTTTTTCAGCAACGGTTTCTATCATCCATGTCTGCTTCTTCTCCATGCGTTCGTATTCCTTGCGTGGGGCCTCTTGTGCACGTGGCTCAGCAGCAACCTCGCGTTTGTTCAGACTTCGGGTAACAAGGGCTGGGCGTGCCCATACTGATGCAGGGAGTTTCTCTCTGTGTGCCTGTAAGAAGTCGGATCCACGTGGCATAGTAGGCGTCGCTACCGACGGGGTGAACTTGCGGATAAGCGGGCTCGCACTCCCGATCTCACACCCCTCACTGTCGATTAGCACCAGAGTTCGTGCGACTCCAGCAGGCGATGTTGAGGGTTGGCGGTAGTATAATACTGTGGTGATGTCACGTGGTCCGCCAGGAAGTTTGGCGCACAGAATTTTGTTTGTCACGCCCATGGCGTCCTCGTCTCGGATGACAGCTCCGCTGTCCATATCGTAAGTAATGCGGCGTTCCACGGCATTCCATGTAGGTCCACCTGGCGTGGTTGCGCGAAAGAGTTTAGCTTGTTTGTCCTGTCGGGTCCACACCCGAAGGGCAGCCCGCCCACGTGTCTCGCGGGCATGTTCTATATCTTCTGCACTGTCGATATACTTCCCCCGTTGTCCTCGGGACAAAATCTTCCAGTGTTCGGGAAGGATGTGGTCTGGACGCGTAGTAGCCTGTGCGCGTGTCTCACGACCGCGGACCACCATTTTGCCGTCTGGCAACATCTTGGGGAGCTCGTAGAACCGAACTAGGCCGGTCCATGGTTCACTAAGTTCTCGGTGGTCTGCGGCACTAACACCGCCCCAAACGTCTCGAGAGACACTCTCGCCCTCGAAGGTAGAAGTCGTCTCGAAGTCCCGCGTGACATCGAGCTGATCGGCGGGGACAGGAATGTTCATCACGTCGTCCGTTGGTCGGAAAGGCTTCTTTCGCGGGGTGCGGATATGCCGGATGATGCAGTATCCACGCTGCTCCCAATAATCAAGCTCTGGCGCTGGTGCAGCGACATCGGGAGCCGATGGACGGGCAGCAGCAGGACTGTCGTCCGGCGGTATAATAGA